GGAAATGGAGGGGGGAGGGGGAGGGAAGTGGGGGAGAAAGGGGGGAAAATTGGGGAGGGAAGAGGGGAAAGGGGTGAGGGAATGGGGGAGGAAAAGGGGGGAATTGGAGGGGGGAGAGGGAGGGAAATGGGGGAGAAAGGGGCCCCCCTTCCTTCTTTCCTGGCCCTTTCCCAGCCCTTTCCCAGCCCTTTCCCATCTATTTCCTGGCTGTTTCCCATCTATTTCCCCTCTATTTCCTGGCCCTTTCCTGACCCTTTCCCATCTATTTCCTGGCCCTTTCCCAGCTGCTTCCCATCTATTTCCTGGCTGTTTCCCAGCCCTTTCCCATCTATTTCCTGACCCTTTCCCATCTCTTTCCCATCTATTTCCCCTCTATTTCCTGGCCCTTTCCTGGCCCTTTCCCATCTATTTCCCATCTGTTTCCTGGCCCTTTTCCATCCATTTCCCATCTCTTTCCCATCTATTTCCTGGCCCTTTCCTGGCCCTTTCCCATCTATTTCCCATTTATTTCCCATCTATTTCCTGACCCTTTCCCCATCTATTTCCCATCTATTTCCTGGCTCTTTCCCCTCTATTTCCTGACCCTTTCCTGGCCCTTTCCCATCTCTTTCCCCTCTCTTTCCCCTCTATTTCCTGGCCCTTCCCATCTATTTCCTGGCCCTTTCCTAACCCTTTCCCATCTATTTCCTGGCCCTTTCCTGACCCTTTCCCATCTCTTTCCCCTCTATTTCCTGGCCTTTTCCCCTCTATTTCTTGGCCCTTTCCTGGCCCTTTCCCATCTATTTCTTGGCCCTTTCCTGGCCCTTTCCCATCTATTTCCTGCCCCTTTCCTGACCCTTTCCCATCTATTTCCCATCTATTTCCTAGTCCTTTCCTATCTATTTCCTGCCCCTTTCCTGGCCCTTTCCCATCTATTTCCTGGCCCTTTCCTAACCCTTTCCCATCTATTTCCCATCTATTTCCCCCCTCTTTCCCCTCTATTTCCTGACCCTTTCCCATCTCTTTCCCATCTCTTTCCCATCTCTTTCCCATCTCTTTCCCATCTATTTCCCATCTCTTTCCCCTCTATTTCCTGACCCTTTCCCATCTCTTTCCCCTCTATTTCCTGGCCCTTTCCCAGCCCTTTCCCATCTCTTTCCCATCTATTTCCTGACCCTTCCCCATCTATTTCCTGGCCCTTTCTCATCTCTTTCCCATCTATTTCCTGGCCCCTTCCTGGCCCTTTCCTGACCCTTTCCCATCTGTTTCCCAGCCCTTTCCTGTCTATTTCCTGGCCCTTTCCTGGCCCTTTCCCATCTATTTCCCATCTATTTCCTGGCCCTTTCCCATCTCTTTCCCATCTCTTTCCCCTCTATTTCCTGACCCTTTCCCATCTATTTCCCGACTCTTTCCCCTCTATTTCCTGGCCCTTTCCCAGCCCTTTCCCATCTCTTTCCCATCTATTTCCTGACCCTTCCCCATCTATTTCCTGGCCCTTTCTCATCTCTTTCCCATCTATTTCCTGGCCCCTTCCTGGCCCTTTCCTGACCCTTTCCCATCTGTTTCCCAGCCCTTTCCTGTCTATTTCCTGGCCCTTTCCTGACCCTTTCCCATCTATTTCCCATCTATTTCCTGGCCCTTTCCTGACCCTTTCCCATCTCTTTCCCAGCCCTTTCCCATCTATTTCCTGGCCCTTTCCTGTCCATTTCCCATCTCTTTCCCCTCTATTTCCTGGCCCTTTCCCATCTCTTTCCCCTCTATTTCCTGGCCCTTTCCTGTCCATTTCCCCTCTCTTTCCCCTCTATTTCCTGGCCCTTTCCCATTTATTTCCCATTTATTTCCCATTTATTTCCCCTCTATTTCCCCTCCCTTCCCCATCCCTTTCCCTCCTATTCCCCATCCATTTCCCACCCCGTTTCCCATCCTCACCTTCCTCTTCCTCTTCCTCTTCCTCTTC